GGTCTTGTTGGTTTTGTTTTCTCTTCGACGTTTTTATTCAGTATTATACTTCCAATTATTTATTCCTAGAGCATCAATGTGAGACATTACTTCAAAGTCCTTGTTGAAATGCGCATCTGTACATGTTGTGATAAAATCGGTATTGTTAATACAATTCATACCACTGGGCCGATACCTTTGCTGGATTGACTGTTAGTCCTCACGGGTAGCAAAAATCCCAGTATACATATACTTCGATACTGGCAAGAAAATACGGATATTGTTCTATAAAAATTTGCTGCTATAAAATTTTGAAATATTTTAAGCAAAGGAATGTATCCGTCGCATGCATAGCCTTGATTTCTTGTCCGGGTCTGGCTTTACTTTTGGTTCTTTTTGGTTTTGTTTGGAACCTTCTATGGTATTATACGTAAACGTGGTGTTTTGTTAGAGGGTTTACGTTTAAACCATTTCGATTTTCAATTTCAGTATTTGTATGTGCAATGTTTATTTCATATTAAAATACATTGCATTTGAAATCACAAAACAGACAATATTAATGTAAGCCAATTCAAGTTAACAGTTAAGTGGTTTTATTTTAAATGTTTTAAATATGTTACATATATCTATATATACATGTAATCGTAGGTTTGAACGTTGTTTTCAATTTAGACTTGTATATATACATGTATATATTTGTAGATGATCATTCACGAGTTGTTTTAAAAGGAGATACGAAGCATGATTATATAAATGCGAGCTAGATTGATGTAAGTTTATTTGTTTTTGTACTATGGTCTAATTTTTCTTTACCTGCGTCGTCAACGACTGAAGCAGGTCTAGTAATTGCTCTCGACTCTATATGTAAGACCGTCCGTTCGTCTGCCAGAAAGACCTTGAGTATACTGCTTTACAAAGTTTTCTTGTCTTTTATTCCACTAAGGGAAAGACTTTATATTTGGCGTGCAGGTTGATAATGTTGTGTTGTAGTGTGAATGCAATTTTACGTCCGTCGTCCAGGCACCTCCTGTTTGCCAATCGTTTGACTTTTTACAGCATACATTGAATGGGTTCGTTTTAAATGTTGAGGACTTAGCTTAGTATATATATGCATGCGTTGGTTTAATAATGTTCTTAACAGTATAATCACCAGAATCTTTTCATACATGCATGACTTTAAGTAAGTGGAATAGAGATCTGTTTGTATCAGAAATAGTTGTGGTAAAAACAACGCAATCCCTGATGATTGAAAACGTAAGAAAACACTTTATAAAATACTTAAATGGATGTAACGATCTTTAAAAACAATACATGTAAATCCATATTCTGGACGATAACATTGTGATGTCAAATGAATAATGAACACAACTGTGTTCAAGACTTAACACGATGCGCAAGGATTTAAAACGTTTCAGTTCACAATATTGAAATCTAACAGGAACGCAGATCACCTTACCGACCCGACCAGTCTTTGTTTTAACCTCTAAATGCCGCTTGAATTGCAGAACATAAAATTCAGAAGGGGAATTAAAACAACTAATAAAGAACGCAAGAAAACACCGTGTATAGAGGAAGAGACGAAAAAACAAAAACATCTCATTGAAAATCAGATCATACGAGTCCCGTTATAACGGAATGTGAATTCAGTTCGTCTAAGGAGGTAAACAATTCCTACACCGCTAGCGCTGGTGACACCATCGTGTTCTTTATGAGATTTTAAAAAATGATTTATATGTAATTAACGAAGTATTTGATTATGTCTATGACAAATTCAGCTTACCTGTACTTTTAAATTCCTTGTTTATTACAATTTCAGAACTATGAAAAGGAAAAGGCTTACATAGCATCACAAGGTGCGTAATTTTTTTTTAAGTACTTGCTAAAAATTAAATTTATGAGATAACCAAATTTAGGAGACGACACGCACATCTGGCATACAAAATTATAATCCTTGTATCTTTGATGAGTTCTTTTTTGGGGGCTAAATAATACACACACGTGATGCCCTTTACACAAATAAACTCTGGCCTTTGTTAGTCTTTTATGTTTTTTTATTCTAGTTTATTTACATGTTTCGGAGTTTAGTGTGACGTCCATTTTCGCTGAACTAGTACACATTTTGGTTTAAGGGGCCAGCTGAAGCCCACCTCCGGATGCGGGCTTTTCTCGCTGAGTTGACGACCCATTGGTGTCCTTGGGCTGTTTTTTGCTCTTTAGTCGGGTTGTTGTCTCTTTGACACATTCCCCATTTCCATTCTCCGTTTTATCATCATAGATACCAGGATTAACATTTTGCACGCACAACACGCGTTTCGTCTATCTAATAAGTTATAAAGGCCAAAAAAAGTACGAACTTTAATTATTACAGAAACATATCTTAGGATGATATATAAAATAACACACTTCTACAGATTTGAGGCAAATATCAAAATCATTTGACAAGTTTAAAACAGCGTCAAACAATGAATGATTTAATTTCAAACTTATATAATTAGTTTTAGATGTTTCGAAATTAACTTAATGTATGGTCAAGTTTATTATATACTTTTTCTTGTGATCTTATAATAGGAATCAAGAGCGATTGAATAGTTCGATGCAAAAAAAGGCGGGGGGGGGGGGGGGGGGGGGGGGGGGGGATGGGGGGATGGGGGGGGGGGAGCATAATCACCCGAGCTCGAGCTGCTAGAAATAGCATTGGGTGAAGCGATGTGAAAACTGATTTTATGCATCCGCCACTAGGGGACCAACGTTTGAGTTTAAGGTTTAGTGCAAATGCTAAACGGATCTTAAACAACTTACAAAACATGTAAAGCAACTTATGTTGAAATATTTACACCCGACATTCAGTGTGAATACTTAGTAAAATATATGTCAGAGTCAGCTGTAAACATAAATAATAGTTGCAACTCAATTGTTTTTCTTATACAAGAAATGTTGTATTTTCTAGCCAAGAATGTGTTCATGCTAGTAGCCAGCGACTCTTTCACGAAAAAGTCTTTCGATTAAAATTGATCGGGCGTCAAACTGAAATGAGTTTTTTCTGCATTACATTTTTTATGGAAACAGTCGCAGAGTTTTTTCTTGTCTTCCGTTTTATTTGTTTTAACGCAGCAAAACCCGTCAAACTGACATTTGCGATATCGTCGCTTATATATTTATATCATGGCATTTCCTTGAAAGTTATGTACACATCGTGTTATCTCTGTATACACTGCAATAATGATTCCATAAACTTTAACCTACCCCATGCATCAATATGAGATGTTGATTTAATTTACAAACACTAGACGATTTTTGAGGTATAGCACTATATACGTTCCTGTCAATATAGTACTTCCATGATGTATGCAATTAAATGGTTTCATGATGAAAACATATACCATATCCTTAAGTATTTTTCTTTTCTGCTTCGCGAAAGTGGTACAAAATTAACAAAACAATATACAATTTGTATGCCCCCGCAGTAGGCAACGAGTGCATTAAGTGTTACCCTTGACCGTCCGCCAGTCTTTCCGTCCGTCCATCCCATTTTCGTTTCAGCACTCTAACTTAAGGTTGCCTTGTAATTTTATGAAACTCATACACAATGCTAAAGAACCAAAACTCGGAGACAGAGTTCGAATTTAGGCGGTGAGTCATTTACTGTTCTAGAGTTTTACCGCATTTTAACTTGGAAATTTGCAAATCTTGAACGGGGGCAATTGTATCCTCAGACACATTATTCCTTTATTTAAACTAGGGAAGGTAATATTGATGTCTAAATGTGGTGATATTTGTTTTTAAATTGGTGATATTGCGAGGAGCGAAAACAATGCCTTTTTATCTTATTTTTTTTTCTTTCTTTCTTAATCATGTTTATAGTATGCAACAAGATCTATTTTTTAAATTACACAACTCATATAAGATAACCTATGGGGTGGTAGCAGCTTCAAAACTAGCTAGGTTTCATGTGCTTTGAAATGCGAGTGAAAAAGCATGACAAAACAAAGTTTTTACTAACGCAGTCAGAGATGGTTTTGGTTTGTTCAATTTTACCTTAAGAAGCTTAACTATGGTAAATGGATGCATGATCATGATGATGTCACCAATCTCTACTCTGATTGGACACAATTACGGAATTGAATAAAAACAAACTTTAAAAGATATATGGTAAAACAAACGGAAAACATAACGGACATCAAATCACACTTAAAAATGAAATTATCAAGATAAATAAAATCAATTCAGGTAAAGGAAGTGTCATTATTACAACCAGCTTATATCTAATGCTTGTCAATAAGGCTATTAATAGCTCCAGTGCTATAAATCTATCTAATCGACTTTGTATACTTGCAATTGCAATATAAAACCCCCAAGGAGTAATCATAATCTCAAAGAGTACAAAATATTGTACTTGAAATGACGAATGTTAAAATACATAAATCGCAAATGTAATTACTTGTCAAAAGCTGAATTATATAGATCATCCCTCTTTGGCGTCCGTCCGACCTCGTCATACACACCGAAATAGTTTGTATCTCTAATTGTTAAAGTTGTTCTCGACATATAGTTTTAATGGACATTTATTCATGTTTCTAAACTGTCTCAAGTTTGTTTTGCATTACTGATCGTAACCTAATAATTACTCATGTTTATGTCTATTTCAGAGCTAGATACTTCTTTATCTTTGAGAAAATACCTATATATACGTTTAGTTAAATACCAGTATATTTTAAATTCTTTAGAGAAAAGGGCATATACTTAACTTTCAGAATCGTCAGGCTTTAGCCATCAGATTGCGTGCAATGTTTTAATTATGATAAAAAAAAAAACCTGATATATAGTTGTGGTTTGTTGTAATCATTATGCTCACAACTGAATACATGTACGTCAAATATTTTTTTTTAATTTAGTACTTGTTTGAATTACTTTGACAGTTTTCACACACAAGTTAGACTTTTTGAGTAATTGTTAGTTGACCTTTTACTGAAGCAATATCTTGTGAACTAGTATATTCATGTTTTGATTTTCTAAATGTTGAGGTCCCAAAAAGGTAACAGTGAGAGATTTTTGGCATATGATTTGGCAGGAAAATGTTGGGAAAATAGTGATGGTTACACCACTTGAAGAAAATCGAAGGGTAAAGAATAAAACTTACAATACGTTCAACACATTATCACTTAGTCTAGAAGTAATGGTAAATAATATGTTAGTTTTATTGAATCTTGATATAGCTGCATTTGCCTAAATATTTCTGAAATAAAGATAGGTAGTCGACGTTTTATTTCTTTTACAAATAACTTTACACATATTATAATGAGACAACTGTTAAGCATACATTATGATATAACATAAAAATCAAACATTTTTTTACTAATGCTTACAAATGTAACTAATATTTATACATTTCTTTCAGATAAAATGTCAAGCATATGTCCAAAGAGGATATATAGACGTTTAGTTAATATTTCATTATTTTAATTTTCCACATGTTTATCAATAGATGGTAAATTTATATAAAAATTGTACATTATATATGGCTTTGTCGGGAGGTTATCACTAAATTGCAAATACATATAACAATGTATAAGTAACAATAATCGGGCATTGCAAGAAACGAAAACAATTCTACTTGGTGGTAGGGTATTTGCTGATTTTTGCCCATTAGGTATGGTGATACTTACGCATATATGTTTGAGTAATTAAAATTATCAAAAGATCAAAATTGATTTATTTTATTTATGAGAAAGAGATTTGTATCAAATTTATATTGATAGCAGGTTATAGTGTCAAAGGCTCCGACACGAGGCTGGACCCTGAAATATAGTTATAATTTCAATAACAATTTCAAACCATGTTTCGAGTATACAACGAACATTAAACAATACAAATCCATTCGTAAAGCTGTCCACAAAAGTCTGATGTGACCTGTGTGGCTACATATCTATTATATCGCCAACCCAATACGAATATTTATTCTAAGGGTCTTACTACTAGACAGAAGAAGTCCGCGAAGCCATGTTCTCTGTCGGAGCATTTCATATCGCTTGGAAAAAATAGGCTTAAAACTATTGAAAAGTATAACATATTTTATGTAACACAAATCACTTCGATAAGGAACTTGCTGGTCTCTTTTTTGACTATAAATGAGGTTTTTCTCTTCCGTATATTCTGTCAATTTTGGATTCCAGTTTTGGTTATGACCAACGCTGATTACAAATGAATGTACTAAATAGTTCAAATTGTCGTGTATTGTTATTGAAAATAGTAACATTCGTTAATTTTTTATAAACTTCATGCCGCGTAACAGTTAATATCGTTTACAGTCCTAATAACTGTATTTTCTAATTTAAGAATGCGGAAGAAAGAAAGCTTCACCATTTCCATTTCACTCAGTGGCCAGATCATGGTGTTCCAGATAGCACCAAACTAGTCAACTATTACAGGAAAGTAAAAATTCAAAAGTGTGATCAAAATGGACCAATGATTGTACACTGCAGGTATGATAGTGGTAGAAATTAGAAAGATATAGGTATAGATGGTTTGAACGTTTCTGATAAAGATAAATTGGGATAAAAGCTTCGGTGCATCAAATTGTTTTAAAGTGTTATTTTCATTAACTAAAAATGATTTGTACAACTGCTGGTGGTCTGCTAGTCCCCGAGAGTATTGTAAGCTCTGTAATATAATTGAAACGTATCAAACTGTTCATAATCTATCGAAAACGAATGAGACTATAAACCAGTAAAAGTCTGAAATGGACAGAAGACCTAGTCTTGACAATCCTAGAAATATTCTTAATCGATTTCTCTCATTTCTTTTCTATTTATAGTCTATGTGATACAAGATTTTATTTCCTTGGCTAGAAATTTGACTAAGAGGTACATATGTAATAAACTTTTTTTTAATAAACCATGCAAGAAGTTTACTTAGCATCCAATAGCTTGGCCATGGGAGAAATAATTTTAAAAGAATTTAGATTCAATAAAAACATTTAAAAGGGAGATAACCCATGTCATAGTAAAAAACAAGTAAGATAAGTGGTAGTTTGGGAAATCTATTATAGTTATGCATTCAAGATTGATAAAGTAGAGGTTTATTGGTCGAGTAAGGTCCATATTTTTGTAGTCCAATTAAGAATGGTCAAGTACAAATCAGTACAGTCGAGTACAACAAGTGCCAATTTTTTTTGTAGTGTTACGTTTTAAAACTAAGACATGTCTTCTCCAGTACACACAATATACTCAGCATTGAACATTTGAAGAAAGAAAAAATCCGATAGATCAAAATTCTCATCATCAATATTTGAAATCGAACAAAGAAAGTTTTTTCAAAAATAAGCTTTATCCATGACCTAGTTTGTCAGGTTTAAATAACCGCCAATTTTTCGAAGTGTGATCGAAGAACGATCATTTAACTATATATGTATTGGTTTACAATACGTTTGTTAATGTTCTCGAAGAATTGTTGCTTTGATTTGTTTATTTTATCACGTTGATTTTTAAATTTGATATCCGCATTTTTTGTTTTTATCCATGAAAAAAAAACGTTGTACTCTTTCCCGAATTTGCGATTCATATCATACATGTTCTTCAAATTAAAACAAGCAAATTACATCTTCATGATCAGTCTCAGCGATTAGACTATTCCAGTGTGTGCTATGCAGTTTTGTTACATAAGTAAGTAATCCACCTTTATAATTCCACACAGTAATGAAATGATTGTTTCTGTTTATAGCCACACTCTTACCTTATAAACTCCGCTGTGATTAATCATTCAGACGTGTAGGTAGTACTTCTGTACAGAAAAACATTATAACATACCATTTTTAAATTCTCTGTTGATAAATTTAGAAATAGTTCTGATAATACACTAAGCTTCCAATTGAATCAGGAAGTTGACATTTAATAGATATTACTTTTCTTTTTATGTCCCTCTTGGTTATTTATCTTACGTATTTACCCTCGGCTATCAAATTTTATGTTTGAGGTTTCTTGATGAAGGTAACAAATAAATGTTATATGACTCGCTGGAAAAATTCAGACATATAAAATTTTGATTCATTTATCTGATAGACATATACACACGGTACACATAAGCGTAAAAACCTTTTTTTTTGTTGGTACTTTTTACATACACATTCATAATCTGTCAGGTAAAACTTTAATCTGTTTTAACATAGTTACCAATTACTCTATTAATTCTTAAGCGCTGGAATTGGAAGAACAGGCACATTTATAGCTATAGACGCATTATACGAACATGGAAATAAAGTTGGTTATGTAAATGTTATGGAATATATAAAGATGATGAGGAAAGACAGAATGAATATGGTTCAAACATATGTAGGTAACATTGTTTTGTTTAGAGAAAGAGCTTTACCCTAGTTTGGATGAAACTCTTAAAGCCTGTATTGTTAATATTTCGCTCTTGATTTGTTTTATGCTTGTACCTTTATCATTTGCATTATTCAGTTAGGCATGTACTGAACAAATGATTTTAAAAATGAAACAAAATACAACAGACTTCAAAGTGATCAAATAAGCACTTCAATGTTGTTGTTGTTGTTTTTTGTTTTTTGTTTTTTTTGTTTTTTTTTTTTTTTTTGGATTGTCATATAGAACCTTTCAAGCATTACCCCTTGTCTAGTCTATATTGCTTCATTTTTTAAATATTAAGGTTTAATATGTTGTTCTGTCAGCTCATTGATTCAGTGCAATTGAATACTACATGCATGTGGTATAGTTGAGATTCATATCACATATGTGGGCTTTGCCAAATTATTCATTTGTTTTATTCTCTGATGTATCATTTGATTTAAGTGTACATTGTTTAAGACGAAAAGCATTTAAAATTTGACAAATCAAGATTGGCTACTGGTTGCCCAATTTTTCTAAAATTGAAAATAAAACAATTAGCTTTTAAAAAGTTATTTCAATAAATAATGTATTTTGTTTGTTTGAGCTATCACAGCACCTTATAACGAGGTAATACAAGTTGCAAAATTAAGGTATGAGATTACTAAAGCCGACTTTTTCCAAGACTTTTGGTCTTGAATTGCAATCTTACTTTCTATACACATGAGGCCATGAAACTTAGCATTTCTCAAAAAAAAAACACCAATCAAAAGAAACAGTTAGTTTCTTGACAGGGTTTGACATATTAAAAATGCAATAACCTACAACACAAGATAACTTTGCAGTGACTTCTGTTGGCATCATATCATAAAAAATCGTTCAAGAAAAACAATCGTTTGTTTTGCAAAACAGAAAGAAAAAGCCCAGAAAAAGATAGGAAATTTCTAAAATCAATTATTGGAAGCTTAAACAAAGACGATCTGGAAACTGTAAATACTCTCGCAAATGCAGACAAAGCGTTTATTATCCGATTAACAATCATTTCAAATTATAAGACTGGAAATTGTGATGATTTTTTTAAACTGAATTTTAACGTGTTGTGATTGAGTTTACAATGACTTTCTATTGAACACCTTATCGATAGGAATCGGAGTATATGCACATTTGAACTGATGAAAGAACATACTGTAAGAGGTGCGGTGTGAAACATATAAAGAACAAAGTCATATTTGAATGACGTAAAATAAAACAAATAGACACTTACATGAAGACTAAACAATGGGTTCAATATTTTGAAAAGGCTCATTAAGAACAATATATGGCGTTGTTAAACATATCAGAGGAGGTTTTGCTGCGAAACCAATTGACAGTCTGATACTTGAAATATAAATATCAGCAACATTTATCACATGTCAGCTAGTATAATGAAACAAAATACAAGACAAAAAAATATCAACTCAAGATGACTTTCCATTGCAGAAGCTACCTTAAAAATTCAACTGTCAAAAACACTAGGTTATCATAGCATCTGATTCAGATCTCAGTAATTACTAAACTTTCCCCTGATATAGTTCAATAACGCTGTAACTATAAAAATCATTCAGAAACACCTTATTTTACGGATCGCAAATAACAATTTAAACATAGAAATATTTGTATATTTTGTCAATTTCAATTGCAGGAACAATATGAAACAGTCTTTGAAGCCTTGTTAGAACTGTTTACTGTACCGGAAACGTCTATTCCAAAAAACGATTTCGGTAAATACATTTCGGATCAAGTATATTACATCTTACCACGAAATCAGAAGATGTATAAAGTCGAATTTCAGGTATATGTCTTTACTTGGCGGGAAGAAAAGGAATATGTTGTATTAATTTTTTGACACAAAATTAACAAAATTAAAGACTAGACAAAACATGAAAAAAGACTATGACTTGCATAGAAAAAAAAGATTGCTGACACCAGGTCATATTCTCAATTTCAGTTCGATTTTTTTTTTTTTGGGGGGGGGAGAAGTTAACATCAATTTAGTATATTCATGAACATACACCATTAAGACTTTCTTTATCTTATAAAAAAAATAGTTATTATTTCATTCGCATGTGATTTAGAGATTGGAAGCTCTACGACCACTGTATTCTCCATCAGCATTTACTGCTGCATTAATGAAGGAAAATATATCTAAAAATTCGACAAGGCAAATACTTCCACGTAAGTAAATTCTAAATTTCTGTTATGAATAGTTTATGTTCGACAAACGCTAGCTTTCATTTGATGCTTTTTGTGCTTTCTGCTGATCTGAGGAGTGTACTCCTGTTCCCCTGATTTTTTTAATTTGTTCTCATATTATGCTGTTACACCATTGTCGCATGTTAATGGGAGGGTTGATCGCTCGCAAACATGTGTTTTACCCCGCCAAATTTCGTCAGTGCCTATCCTTGGTGAGGACCCTTTAATATAGGGGTTGTCGTTGGTTGCAGTCTATCATTGATTTTTCGTTTAATATTTTAAACATTAATCAGGCCGTCTGTTTTCTCGTTTTGATCTTTTTTACATTTTTCATGTTTGGGTCAATCGTCACACAATCTGACTAGAAAATGTGTATTATAACCCATAGAAAACATACAACAAATTGCCACAAATATTGGCGATAGCAACAGCTCACTTCAACTACCAAAATCCGACGCTTTCGAAGAAAATAACCTTACGACAAAAGACAAACAAAAAAAAACAAAAAAACAAAAAAGACATTTTCCAAATAGCCTGACAGTATCAAGAGGAAATAAATGACGGCACATAATTTTGGAAAGAGGATCAAGACGTGTACGTTTTTATAGGGAATAAGCTAATGTACACACAGTTTTTTTTTATTAGTGCAACTTAAGTAAACAATAGGTTAGGGAAATTAACCTTGTTTAAATGTTAAATTAAACCAAATTGACAGTCTCTGTGATGACATTTAATATTGGAAATAGCCAGACTGTCTATAAATGGTTTTTATTGAATTAGTTAGTATACATTCCGGCTGTAGAAAGATTTTTCACTGTTCAATGCTTTAGTTCTGTTCACAATATTACACTAAAAACAAATACGATACATTGTGTTGAATATTACTTTTACGACAACCATTATTTATATATGTAAGATTTCTCTAGTGTTTGTAACATTTTATGAAGGTATTCAAAAATTTAAAGTATATATAAACCTTTGAAAAAGAACTTAAAAGTGCTAATGGATGGTTACAATTATGTATTTTTTTATTTAACTGCTTTATTTGATATTGTGTCTTCGCATAAACTTTCGACTGTTGTATTTATTTCTTTTCTAGTTTGATGTTCTTTCCTGCTTATTTGACTGTCTTAATATATGCTACCTTTTGCAATTTCTTTAGCCATGTGTTATTTATCTTTTGTTTAAAATGATTGATGAAATAGAAAATAAGAATATATAAAATATTTTACTTTTAACGATGACATCAACGCTCGAGCATTCAACAATTAAGGAATGACTGTACTATTTTTTCTGTCTTATCAAAATAACATCAAAAATGTGGTGCACACTGAATAACCCGCGTAGCCGGTTATTTTAAAGCGCGCACCACATGTTTGAGGTAATTTCGAATAGACAGAAAAAATATAACAGTCATTCCTTTTCGTTTAATTCTAAATTCCATTTTTAAGGAGTAAATCATGAAAAAACGTTGATGAGATCATGTTCACATGACAAAATTATGTCTATCAGCTGATAGACAAACAACTTCCAGCCAATCAGAAGACGAGCTACATCCAAAATTTAGTTATTACGCAATAGAATGAATACCGTTGTAGAACATACATGTAATGACACAGTTCAAACAATTAACAAGTAATGCATTTGTTTAATGTTTTTTTAAGTTGACAAGTATAGACCATATCTTATGTCATATGGAAGAACGCGAAATGATTATATCAACTCAGTGCTTATACCTGTAAGTATATATTTGTGTAATGATTGATTTTATCAGTGGTTAACCGATGTTCAAATCTCATAAATTGATTAAGAAGAGACAAATGAAGGTAACAAACAGAAATTGAGGGACTCGCATGAACTCCAAAAAGAAAGGATACAGTGTTCGTAGACAGCATAATCCTCTCCCGCTTTGCACGCATTACCTGCCATGCGAATTCTCACTCATTTAAATGTTTTTATTGAGAATAGTATAAACTTACAGATAAAACCAACATTCTAGCAATGAAGACCACGGAAATATGTAGCTTGTGAGCTAAGACATGGATTTAGTATCGATTTCCTCCTCATAAGCCTGTTGGAGCAGTTTTTAGGAAAGGAGCACACCTCTGCTGAAGATTTCCACATAGTGTGTAAACATGTACGAGCATAGCGTATTATCTGAATGCTATACGATGGAGTATAGATACTGCTGACAAATGTGAAAAGTAAAATAAAAAAAAATAACGAACTCCAAGGAAAAGTAAAACGGAAAGTCTCTTATCAAATGGCAAAATCAACAGCTCAAACACATAAAACGAATGTAAAAACAACTGTCATATTCCTGACTTGGTACAGGCATTTCCTAATGTAGAAAATGGTGGATTAAAGCTGGTTTTAATAGCTAGCTAAACTTCTCACTTGTATGACAGTCGCATACTATCCCATTATACTGACAACAATGTGTGAACAAACAAAGCAGATATAATAGGTAGAAATGTCAAAAATTGACAGCAGTCAACAGTGTGTTATAATCCTCATCACTATAAAACAAACAACTATGTCATCAAAGAAAAAAAAATGGCATATAGACACTCTATAGACAAAGCACATAAGTAAAAATGAAAGACAAGAATGCAAAAAATGATCATAGCACAATAACATAATGGCGGGATGTATAAATACCGAGCCACGTCAAAAGGATATAACCAAAAACGGACTACACAGTAAAGGTTAATAATATACAAAGACAAATAAAAGGAACAATATAATACGTAATGAAGATGATAAACAACATTAGTACCTAGAATCTATACTTCAAGACCAACATATATTATTTGTGAAGTTGATACGGAATATTTATCAACAAGGTCTTGGTATCTTCCGATAAACTTTTTTAGAAAAAAGACGAGACGTTCTTTAATATACCTGGTTCATCAACTTTCTGCTTAGACACTGCTGACGATTTATAAAGTCTGATTAGCAGCTGCAAGTTCTTGAATACCGAATGAGTTGGGGAATGTATATCCCAAATGCAGGTGAAGTTAGAATATTGCTGCTAAGGTGGGGGGAAATTTATAATTTCAAAATTAAAATCGTCTCGTTTGTTATTGATTCTTGTACTTAGATGACCGCTTATGTCAAATTCAAGGTATAAGTCTAAAAATGAGGCGGAAGAAGCCGTGTCTGTTATTTCTTTAATTTCTTGTTCTGGAGGATATATTAATGGAACCCAATCAAAAAAGTTTGGATTGTTAATGGAAAGAACATCATCAATATATCTGAATGTGAAATTAAATAATCTAGCTTCTTTGATCTTCTTGTTTTTTAACAAGTGTCTGTTGGAACTCCGACTCATATGAAAAAAAAGAAGATGTCGTCAAGGTGAGGCGGACATTTCGTTCCCATAGTTGACAATTGGAAGGTTGAAATCTTCACGTTTGTCATAAGTTCTAGTTTGAAGTCGTTCATCTGTGTCAATATCGAGAAAACGATCAAGATATGAAGCAGATATTTTACTTCAAGTAGTGACTTTAATTTATGGTTCACTGTGATATATGAGATTCAAGCAGTCATTGAAATATGGGTTATTTCGTGACTAAACATCTTCAATATATTAAGTAAAATAAAAAAAAAAAAACACTTTTCAAGATCTTTTTTATGGTGTCTTCGAAAAGGTTATACATGAGTTCTCCTTCATTTCAGTGCAAAAATGAAGTCGGTCTGTATACGAAGTGATCTCAATTGGAAGTCCCACGATCTGCTGAAATATCATTCCGCCAAACTCAACAAATATGTTGTCGATCAAAAAGTGTAGTGAAAAGTGTAATTCATAATAGTTAAGTTTAAGACAAATTGACTAACGCTCGACATATAACTTCAAACAGAAGTTTCCTTTTAGTACAAGAAGCATTTTGCTAGTTTGTACATGTTGTAGCAAATATATTGTTCTTGTCTTTAACTAACGAAACACCAAACTATGAATGCCTTTGTTTATCAAATTTTACTAATATTCGAAAACAAAGAGTGACTTCATGGTGAGAAGTTTGTTTTAATCAATGTTCTTAGACTCATCCACAAACTATTTTTCCTGTAACTCTACCATCATTGATGCCTTAAATGTAGGCATTTACTTGATGATAAAGTTGAAAAATGTTAATTGTCTTATTGATAACTACGCATGTATAAAACAATGTAATTGGTTAATTTACAGGGATATGCATATAATAGTAAAATTTTAGTAACTCAATGTCCATTGGAAGAAACTGTTGTTGATTTCTGGACAATGGTATATGACCATAACTCAACCATTGTGGTGTTGTTGGACCAGCTGAATACGGTAAGATATTAGATTCATTTGAGCATTGTCTATATTAAATTATATAAATTAATTCTGAATTATTTTTTTATATTTTTAATTACACAACTTTCATCGCATACCTTTAAAATCTGTTCTTTTGTAAAAAAAAAATAAACTTAAACATTTCGAAGCCAAATATATTGCCATTGCTTAACAATAACATTTGAAGATATGGTGGAAAATTTCAATTTCTTTTAAACAAACTTGTAATTAAATGGGGTTTTATTCATGAAGTTGTAAAATTAAACTCTTATGTCTATTAGAATGCTCCGTTGTGGTTAGAAAGACAAGAAGTGCTGGAGTTTGATCATTTTACTATCATGCAAGAAAATGCGTCCAATCCAGATGAGGTAAAAGTTACTTTGACCAATAAGGTTTGTATGTTGCATACGCCATTTTGCTTAATCCAGTAAGCATTTTCTACTTTGCATGCGTTCTATATTAAAACATTTAAAAGCACTTACATTTTACGATATTCAGCTGCAAGACAAAGACGTTAACTTAATCATGAGGGGTTTTCTGGTTTTTTTAAATGCTGCTCCCTCGCGAGAAACATAATAATAAGATTCTGGAAATAATTTGTACTCTTTGCAAATTATAAAAAGTTCTCTCTTCTCGTCAAACAATTGAAAAGATACCACAGAAAATTATATTCTCAAACATTTTACTCAATGACGGATGCCACATAGGGAACAGCATCTGCTTACCCTTCCTAGAGTTCACCATCGGTTTTTAGTGGGATTCGTGTTGCTCAGTCTTAGGTTTTCTTGTTGTGTTTTGTAAACTGTTGATTGTCTTGTTGTCGTTTTCCGTTTTGTTCCCATGGCAATGTCCGTCCGTTTTCGAGTAATGGGTTAAAATATCCCTTTGGTATCTTCTACCACTATTTAACTCGTGTTAATACATCTATCGATCATTGGATGTTTTTCTCGTTCAATCAAAACGACCATAAAAGGTTATTTCCATATTCCAGGTACGTACGCACTCAAAACTTATTTACTTGCCTTACTTAATACTAATACTTTTGTACAAATTACAAATCTTGTAACATTGTTCATATAATTTATTTGCAAGCATTGCATGTTAGTGCACGTGCTTATATATTAGATATATTGGTACAGTAATAAATACGAAATAAAGGTATAGTTTTGTTAACAAAATAATTGAAAAACGAGAGACTTTTGGTGTACGTAAATGAGAAAGGAACCAAACGACTGTTTCCAAATAAGACAAATAACTTCAAACTTTATTAACATCAAAACACATTAAGGTCAAGGTACAGTAAATGGGCTACGCCTATAAGTAATGTTTCAGATAAATGCCATGTTTATTCGATTTTCAGTTCAACGAGGCAAAGTTGTATGCAAAATTTTACCTAAATCTTTGGCACAGCCCTTTTATAATTCCTTGACATTAAGAAAATTCCAAAGACAACCGATGACAAGCTTCATGGCATAGGACATGTACATGAACATGTGTCGACTTTTTTTCATTCTGTTTCAAAAGGTTAAATGTACACTTAATTATGACGACTTTGTTTGTCGTAACAAACGATATATCGCAAAGAGGAAAGAAAGAATTAAGAATAAAATTATGTATTTGAATTTTTACCATCAGTATAGTATATATGTGAACGTAACAAATAGCAATGTCTCTTTGACATTAATTGTGCAACATTTCAAGTTTAGTATATGTATTTTTGTTGTGTTTTCTTCTACTTTTTTAATGTTATGAAACTATTTTCTGAATTTGAATTTTATTTCAACTTTGTTTTTAAACCGGTTATTGGAGTTCAACCGGTATCAATCATATTTTAATTTATATATATTATCTTTTCTCAGAAATTATTCCAAAAATTAACGTATACCGTTTTTCTCTGAAAATTCATCAAAAAAAATTAACAATGTACGTTTTTAACTAGGATGTACCTGCATCAATCTTATATGAATTGGCAATATAATTATTTTTTTCCTTAGGAAATAGATCAGATGACAATTACTGTTTTTACCACAAGTGAATTGAAGAATGACACAATGCTCCCATCTAACATTTTATCAGATCTGCTGATTAAAGTAAAAGATTGCAGGGAAATAAACCAAGGACCACTTACTGTAATTTGCAGGTATGCCATTTAAAACGAATATTAACAGAAATAGTGTCTTATAAATACACATCCACGTTCATTTTCTATATAGAGTATACTCTATCTATATATTACATTATACATATTTATCAACAGGTTAACTTTTAACTATCCTACTGCCTGTCAATACTTTTATTTTGGCATTGCACAAGTCATGTCTTTTTTGACTGTCCATAACGTTAAAACACTAAGTCCCTGTGATGTGTTTTAGTTGTTTTTAGTCTCTGATGCATGATTTTTTTACTATTATTGCTTTTGGCTTTTAACTAGCTTTCAGTAACTGCGAGTATTCTCAAATCGTACTTTCGTGTTAATTTGACCTGTTGATACAATTTGTAATGTATTTTATTTGTTATTTAATGATTACTTATTAAGTGTTATATCTGGTCTCACTATTTTTACTATATACCACCTTTGATCAGTTTTTAGTATGACGATAAATTTTCTCTTTTGTTCTCGTACTTGGAACAACAAAATTATTTATTTTGTAAAAATTATTTCCGTACTCCATGTATACCTTACAACAAAATTATTTTTATTGACCTGTGTACGTTATTTTATCTGGCTGCATTTTGTCCAAGGTTATGGTTGTCTTTCTGATATTGTTTTACATCTAACCCCCTTGTTTTATTAATTTTGTATTTACATTGTGTCATAGATCAAATTTATTCGTTCAGTGTATGTTCTCTTGTTTTTGTTAATATGTCTGTTGATTGAGTTAAGCCATTTCAATTGATATTTTATAGTGTGTCTTTCTATGTTGTGATGTTACACTATTGTTTCAGGTAGGGTGAAGGTTGGCGCCTATTAAAACGTTTAAACCCGCTGCATTTGTTTGCACCTGTCCTAAGTCAGGAACCTGATGTTCAGTAGTTGTCGTTTGTTGATGTGGTTCATAATTGTTTCTTGTTTTCGTTTTTTATATAGATTAGATTGATTTTCCTGTTTGAATGGTTTTACACTAGTCATTTTGGGGGCCTTTTATAGCTTGCTGTTCGGTGTGAGCCAAGGCTCCGTGTTGAAGGCCGTACTTTGACCTATAATGGTTTACTTTTGTGACTTGGATGGAGAGTTGTCTCATTGGCACTCATACCACATCTTCTTATATCTATCCTAGGGGTTTGCTTTGTTCCCATAAGTGTTGCTTTCTTTGGTAAACATTAGATGAAAAGGGGGAAACAGGAATCGTGGTGTCACAAAGTTAGTTGTTTCATATAATAAATTTGGAGTCAATTTGGAGTTAGTTATCCAAGTGAATATGTACGTATTGCAAGCAAACGTTCTGAAATAACTACAGCAGTCATGGCAGTAAAATTCACACAAAAATGAAAGTATTGCTGTGAAAACTTATCTGTACAACACTTACTGTGTCGCTTCCTGGAGTGATAACTTATGATCTACTCTGCTAAATATCCTGAAGTTTTATTAATGTAAATCACGAAGTAATTTTTAGTCTGAAATAGTTATTTGATACATGTATATTTTTTATCACAAATAAAGTTGTCTGAATTGAACATGTTATGTCTTGGTATGATTTAACATTTTTCTTTGCAGTTAATAGTGTACTGCTGGACTTGCTAGTTACAGACAATCTGATATAGTTCAAGCCTTTGTCAGACAATTATTATGTATTATATAGTAAATAGCAGCTACTACAAGGTTGTTAGTCTTCTAAACATACACTAAATAAATACGTGTTTTCTTTAAAAGAGAGGGGAAAGATACCAAATTAATATTCAAACGCATAAGTCGAAAACAAACTAACTATGCCTAAATTAAAGTTTCTGAACGTTACTGAATAAACACCTGTGCAAATATAATTTGTCAATTATAACTTCCCCGAACATGGGATATTGTTAGATTTCTATATTCAACCATTGCAATGATCATTCTTACTCATCCGATATATGCAGAAGTTTTTACATTAATTAAATTTCAATTCTTGTAACTTATATAAATTTTTTTGACATAGTATGTGCTTGTTGCAACATTATCCTTTAATTTTCAGTGACGGTTGCAGTAAAAGCGGTCTGTTTGTCGCACTTGAACTTATCTTGGAAAAATTGGAGATAGACGATGAAATTGATGTTTTTCAAGTGATAAGAACAATGCAACTTAGGCGTCCCGAATTTTTCAATGAATTGGTAAGTTTCATCTGGGTTGATATCAAACGAGTCTTAAATGCGAATGAAACGTTTACAATTGGACAAATCTAATATCAGGGGTAATCTGTCACATTTAACCATTAAAACATTTGTTTATGTATATTTATAATCTTTAAGGTTGCTCCATATATACAGTTTTAATCATGTTTTCCTGGTGACATTAATTCATAAACGTTTTTAAATTCGTGATTTCCGAATAGATGACGAATCAAAAAGATAAACATGATATTTAATTTTACTGTAGTATTCCAAATTCTTATCAATAACCTTCAGTCCAGGTAGAAGGTACATTTTTGTAAAATAAATGAATAAAAGAGAAATTCATGAGATGCACTTGATATGGCAAAACATGCAACTACATAGAAGATATGTCCTGCTCTGCATGCATCCCTTCTCCTGTGGATATAAAATCAAGTAATAAGTGTTACTATTTAAACATGATAAAAGTGGTAATATCTAAGGGCATGTTTTGTGCTTCGAAATATTAATAGATATAAGAAGATGTGGTATGAGTGCCAATGAGACAACACTCCATCCAAGTCACAAATTATAAAAGTTAACCATTATAGGTCAAAGTACGGCCTTCAACACGGACCCTTGGCTCACACCGCACTGCAAGCTATAAAAGCCCCAAAAATTACTAGTGTAAAACCATTCAAACGGGAAAACCAACGGTCTTATCTATATAAAAAACGAGAAACGAGAAACACTTATGAACCACATCAACAAACGACAACTACTGAACATCATATTCCTGACTTAGGACAGGTGCAAACAATTGCAGCGGGTTTAAACGTTTTAATGGTACCAAACCTTCACCCTTATCTGAAGCAATAGTATAACATCACAACATAGAAAAACACACTATAAAATATCAATTGAAATGACTTAACTCAATCAAAAGACATATTAACACAAGTAAACATACACTGAAAGAATAAATTTGATCTATGATTCAATGTAAATACAAAATCAATAAAATAAGGGATAAATAATTAAAGTAACAGTATAATACCGCTGTGAAATGTTAAACAATTTCAGAAAAACAACAATAACCTTAAACAAAAGTCCGCCATTTACAATAATATTATACACAGGTAAATAAAAATAATTGTGTTGTTAGGTATACAGTTTAAAAGGAGAAAGGACATATTTTTACAAAATAAATAATTTTGATGTTCATAGTTCGAAGAAGTGAAAATTATAGTAATACCAAACACTTATCAAAGCTGGTATATAGACCAGATATAACCCTGAATAAGTAAACATTAAATAACAAAAAAACATTACAAATAGTATCAACAGGTCAAATTAACAAGAAAGTACGATTTGAGAGTACTCGCAGTTACTGACAGCTAGTTAAAAGCCAAAAACAATTAATAATAAAAAATCATGCATCAAAGACTAAAATCAACTAAAACACATCCCAGGGATTCAGTATTTTAACGTCATGGACAGTCAAAGAATATATGACTTGTGCAATGCCAAAAATCAATGTATCGACAGGCAGTAGGATAGTTAGGAGTTAACCTCTTAATAGATATAAATGAACGTGGTTGTGTCTTTATACATCCCGTTTGAAAAGAATACAAATTTACAGTTTTAATTAGCTGATGACAAAATCGATATTAGTGCCAATGTAAACTATATTCAAAGATCCAATTACAACATTGGTAAGATAACCTTTATTAATAAGTTTGTTTAAAAGTTCGATGAGTATACACGGATCACATAGTGATTTCCGCGCTTTTAGTACAATATAACCGTAAAATTTAGGATGTGAAATACCATTTTTATTAAGTTTTCTACAGGTACAGCCAAATTTACTAATCAAATCTTTGTATCTATGAAAGAGTTTAGTAAAAGTTTTAAGTAATTTATCGTAACGAAATCCCTGACTTAATAGTTTACCAGTGATGCATTGATTACGTTCGTTAAAATCTATGACATCACTACACATACGGGCATAACGAACGAGTTGTGATATATAAACACCGTATGATTGAGCCAAAAGAACATCGCCGTCTAACGATTATTTAACGTTAAAATATCATCCAGATAACGGTAGGTATTGTTGAATGTATCACCCAAATGTAACAATGACGTGTCTTTACTGAGTTTGGTCATAATCTGAGATTCATAGCAATACAGGAATAAATCTGCTATAAAAGGGTCGCAGTTAGTGCCCATAGGAATACCTACTACCTGTCGATACACTTTATCGCCGAAACGTACATATATGTTGTCCAGGAAAAAAATTTAAAGCTTCAATCATATCTTCACATTTCCAGTAAGTGTATCTAGCATCCTTTCCTTTTTCGTTACAGAAAAAGGCTTTAAACGAGTTACAGCAAATAAATTTGCAACGAGATTTCTCAAAAGACCATTCAATTAAATATGAAAACTTTTTCTTTTTGATAAGATTGTGTGGAAGTGTAGTGTAGAGAGTAGAAAAATCATAACTGTCAACAGAATTAAAAGGACCATCAAAAGCACGTGTTTTATCCAAAAAAGAATTTTTAACACTCCAAAAAAAATTAATACCATTATTTTCATAAGCTTTATTACAAAAGTTAATAACAAGAATGTATGTAAAGAATAAAAAATAAAATTGAAAAACTAACTAATAAATAAATTAGGATGTAAGCATAAATAGTAATAAGAAAACTGTCGTACACTGCTGAACAGACATACTTTTAAAGCATATGTTGTATGTTATTGAATATATATATTTTATACATTGGAATTTATTACCATTCACTCTAGAAAAAAAAATATCAAATAAAAAATATGTCAAAAATAAAACATATTCCGTCGCCTATTATCAATGCTTTGCATACATATCTTATTAGTCTGATACTTTGGGAAAGTCGGTACATTCTTATGTTATTGTCATCATTTTTATTTAATCGAAATCGAAAACATTTCTTAAGCTCTGAATCAATAAAAATACGGTTTATTTAATGGCTGATATTTTCTTTTTTTTCACAGGATCAGTATGAATATTGTTACAAATGTATCAAGGACCATTTAGAAAATAGCTCGTTGTATGCAAATCTTTAGTGATGCCAGACTTTGAGTTTTCATCAACAGAATACAAACTAGGCACATATCTGTTCTACTTACTGTGCAGAAATATAATTTTATAGAAAACAAAAATAACAAACAAATAACAACGAAAATGGCAATAAGATTGTTTTATTGTACGAATAAAACTGATATGCTTTTCATAAATAGGTCATACACCATGGCAAAAGATCCATGTATTTGATATATAGATATAAGTCTTTATTGATATGAGAACCGATTGTAGATAATGATAGATTTATTTTATTAATGAAGTTCAGCAGTATATCTAGTCACTTGTAGCGTTTGTATAACGCTAACCGAAGATAAGATACCTTGTAACCTGAACAATTTAATACATTATAATCGAAACAGTATGTAATTTTATCATGGATACTGGTTTCAATGTGCATAAAAACCGGTTAAAATATTGCTTATCTATTTAAAATGTTCTCAATGTTCTAAATGTATATGGTTTTGATTTGCAGGAGTATATTTTTACTATAAATTTGATTTTATGTTTGATATATGTTATATTTAGCTGTTCTTATTTGTATTGAGTAATTTGAATATCTGCAAAAACCACTAATTCATAGCCGAATTGCTTTAAACAGTATATGTTGTAGCTATATTTTATGAATTTTAAATAAAGTGGCTACCATTTATCATGTAAAAACTCTACCTTATACTGGCTTGTACCGAAAAATTGAACATATCAGTTACAGTTACTGCGTACTGGTTACCGGAAGTTATGTAGTACGAAAACAGTTTCTTCTCCTCTAAACAACAGGCAAACTGTACCCTCCTATTTCAATTTAATAAATTATTTTTAATTTTCAACAGATATTTTCATCGAAGGTACTTCAGTGACCCAATTCCTTAAGCTTTCATCTAATTCCAAAATTACCCAATTAATTTATGTTACTTATTTATAATTTACAGTTATGCGTAGGATCTATTTCGTTTAAAATATATACTACTTTGCTGTACAATCTTTCTAACCGGGTCCGAATAAGTGGTTCTATACCTATATATGTATATTTTTGATTAATCTTATACTTAATTATGAAAATGGAATGCATATTCCATTAAAATGTAAAAGTAAAAATAAGGAGAGTAAAAATTGCAGTCGTTGTGTTTTATTGAATATATTGTTTTTTTTACATTCAAAATAAAAAAAATAGGTCGCATATTAACTTTGTCTTTGTTTTAAATGTTTAAGTTAGTTTTTTATTAGTGATAATGAAAGTCCAGGATATATCTCTGAAATGAACTCAACTGTACACAGCACAGAATGTGTCATTCAGACAAAAAAAAGAACGTGAGAAAATTATTTATCATTAATGCATGTAATGAGAGAGGTGAAAGATACCAAATGGACATTCAAACTCATAAGTCGAAAACAAACTGACAACGCCATGGCTAAAAAAGAAAAAGACAAGCAGACAAACAACAGTACACAAAACACAACATAGAAAACTGAAGACTGAGCAACACGAACCCCACGAAAAACTGTGATGATGTAACTGAGTATGATGATCATTGAGGGCTGTTTAAATTCATGTGGCAAATTAAACGCATATACATGACCAAAAAATGTAAATGGGATATGAATGTGTACCTTGCTTTGTTATATAGACAGGGTAAACTGGATTTTGAACGTCCTAGTTAACAAGGTAACAGTCCTCATGCTGACATTCAACTCTACCTGGTTAGCTTATTCTGTTTCCTGGTCAACCAGTCTTTTTTCAATCGCAAAGTCGTACTATAATCAAAATAAGTGCTAATTAATAAAATCGCAAAATTAACTTCCACGTAAATAATAGTAGGAACCAAACATTAAGGTCACAATGGGGAGAAATGACACGAACAATTTCATATATTTAAAGAGGAATTAGCTGTCAAGTTCATAATTACCGGTTTTACCTAAATTTTCATATTTGACCAATAACAAACAAAAACGTATATTCAAATTAAAAAGTCAAAAAAAACCATTTATTCGATTTTGGTTTGTGACCCAGATTTGTTTCAGTTAAATCGATTTATGACTATTGAACAGTGGTATACTAATATTAGTTTTATAATGCATTGTACTCGTTATAAGGTATCAGCATTTTGTGCGTATTTTTGTCAAGACACAATATAATTTACCATCGAAATGACCTCCGAAGACTGTCGATTGTCTTATGACCTGATTTAAGCGTAATTACATATATAAATATACACGTGTGATGACAATTAATATACTAGGTCTGTTTGGTTTCATGTGTGTGGGACGAATCAGTCAAATAAGTGGTTTTTCCTGGTGGCTCACATTTTGATGTTGACATCTATTCTTTAAGTAGCTGAACAAAGGTAACACATGCACAACCGGGGTCAAATTAAAGGTTTGCATGAACACGAATTCAAATGAAGTTGAATTATTTATTTGCATGCAAATAGCGCAATTGCGGTGTGTATTAGCTTATTTTGATACAATTGAAACATACTTACAAATTATAGCGAAATATTTTTCTAATATGTGAAGTTCGATATAGAGGAATTAACATGCCATATACATGCATATATATTCCCACACGCACACACACACACACACACACACACATGCACACATGTTGTTACAGTATAATTGGGTTACATTAGATAGTTTTTATTTGAATTAATGTTAAGCTTCTGCAACATATGATTTACTAGAAGTTGTTGATGATATGAACAGCCACTCTCACTAGCAACCATTATGCAATAGATTCACAAGTAGCCTCAACAGCGTGGATTGATTCATTGGCATGTTGTTATAGTATCCATAAATATGACCGTGACACACATTTTAGACTATATTTATGGTTGTCAGAAGCTTTCAAAATGCATTTTTTGTTAAATATACATGTACGAGAATGGTGATAACATAGGATTGGATACAAGTCAATTACAAATCGTCTTCAACGTGAAATCTACCCACTTGATATACTAGTAACTTATCAAAGTAGTTTATAGAACTTACATGACGGGCAGTAAATGTAAAGCAGGTTCTGATCATCCTTTCGGAGCACCTGCGTATACTCCAAGAGTTTAGTGGGGCTTAGTTTTTAGCTGTTGTTTTTGCGATGCCTTTGTCATTTTCTAACCGACTTATGAGTTAGTTTTGAATGTCAACTTGGTATCTTCCGTAATATTAATGTACACATGAAAAAAATGAAATAACAAAAATACCGAACTCCAAGGAAAATTCAAAACGGAAAGTCGTTTATCAAATGGCAAAATCAAAAGCTTAAACACATCAAACGAATTGAAAACAACTGTCATATTTCTGACTTGGTACATGCATTTCTTTATGTAGAAAATTGTGGATTAAACCTTGTTTTATAGCTAGCTAAACCTCTCACTTGTTTGATAGTCATATAGAATTCCACTAATTGACAACAATGTGTGAGAAAAACAAAAAGACATAATAGGTAAAAATGTCAAAAATAGGGATACAGCAGTCAACATTGTGTTATAATCTTAATCACTATAAAAATAAATACTTATTTCAGCAAAGAGAACACATGTCATATAGACACAGTACACAAGCAAAAATAAAAAAACAAGAATAAAAAATGACCATAGCACAATTATAACACAATGGCGGAATGTATAAATACCTACCCAAGTCAAAGGTATATACCAACAATAGACTAAACAGTAAAGGTTAAAAATACTCAAGACAAATCAAAAGAACGCTATAACACGTAATTAAGATGATATAAAACGTCAGCCCTAGAATCTATACTTCAAGACCATCATGTATTATTTTTGAAGTTGATACGGAATATTTATCAAGGTCTTGGTATCTTCCGATGAACATTCTTAAAAAAACGAGACGTTTTTTTACATAACCCTGGTTTATTAACTTTCTGCTCAGACTCTGGTCACGTTTTATAAAGTCTGAGTAGCAGCTGCAAGCTCTTAAATATCGAATGAGTTGGGAAATGTATATTCCATATGCAGGTGAAGTTGGTAAATTGTTGCTAAGGTGGGGGAAATTTATAATTTCAAAATTAAAATTCTGGTACTGAGATGACCACTTATGTCGAATTCGAGGTATAAGTCTAAAATGAGGCGGAGGAAGCTGTGTCTGTTGTTTCGTTAGTTTCTGGAGGATATATTAATGGAACCAATCAGAAAAGTTTGGATTGTAAATGGAAATAACATCATCAATATATCTGAATGTGAAATTAAATGATCTAGCTTCTTTGATCTTCTAGGGGCCTCGGTGGCCGAGTGGTCTTAAGTAGTTACTACTGTAATCACTAGCCAGTCAACACTGAGGTTGTGAGTTCGAACCCCGCTCGTGCGGGTGCACTCGACTCCAATCTTAATTGACTAGGATTGTCAGTTTTCGTATCGAAGGTCGGTGGTTTCCTCCGGGCACTCCGGCCTCCTCCACCAATAAAAAACTGGCCGCCACGAAAAAGCCCAAAAGCGGTGCTTAAAAGTGGCGTTAAAACACCAAAAATTTAAATGAAATCTTTGATCTTCTTGTTTTTGATAAGTGTCTGAAATAATATGTTGTCAAATAAGAAACTCTAGCATACTGATCACTTGTTCCTCTAAGTAGCATGTTAAAATAACCTCAAGTAGGTTTCCTCCACAGCGAAAGTGTAAAGCGAAGTTCAATAAAGATTTAAGTGCATAAAACATGTAAAACACAAAGAAAATAATGATAAAAAATTGTTTTGATTTTAATAAATATGAACATTGCTACCAGTGTATTAAAGAACGTGTGAAAGGAAAATCAGTTATGCACATTCTTAATGATAGAAGATTTACTTCGGCTATGTAACCGTTTTAATGCAAATACCTTTATCGGATATTTTTTGCTATCGCTTTACAATGCAAATATATTTATTTTTGTGCACAAAACTTACATAATGAACAAACAATGATATCCAACTAAACACTGTTAAAAATTAATTCACATGTGATATTCATAGAGGAGTGCATTAAAACGACGTTTGTTTTAGTCATTTTCTATACTATTCCCATGTTGTCTGGTTGTCAAAGGGAAAAAAAGAATGGGAGGAGCTTAGATCTCAGAAGTTGTTCTGCATCGTCTGACTTCGCCTCTTTGGACTAGTTAACAATTAGAACACAACAATGTAATATAATAATGACCATTTAACATGTTTAATTTTCCTATAAAAAAGAATAAAATGCAGGGATAGTAAATTAATTACACACTTTTGTCGGGGGATAGAGAATGTTCAATGGACGATGTCGACGATATCGTGAACACATCGATTCCACATCCAACTCCATGTTCCGCAAAATGCCCTAATCCACCACAATGCTGTCAATATCGTGTCAACATCCTTGTTATATTATTAAACTATAAACAACTGTCATGCAAGTAGGAGGTTTAGCTCGCTATAAAACTATGTTTGACCCATCATTTTCTTCCGGAAATGCCTGTACCAAATCAGGAATATAACAGTTATTTTCCATTCGTTCTGTTGGTTGATAAAGTCCAACGTTTGATTTTGTTAGTTTTTATGGACTTCCCCTTTTTTGAATTTACCTTCGAGTTCAGTATTTTGTTATTTCTTTTTACTTTAAACTTAATACATCTTTCCATAATGAATTGATATATGCCAAATTAAGCTTAACTTCTTAGCAAAATTTCATGGTTCACGATACATGCGAATGCGATAATGCGAGCAGGTCATTTTGTCTAATGAACACATATTCGTGTTCTACTTTTATTATTAGCATCATGATAGTTTTAACCAATTAATAAAAAGTTTCTTAAAAAAACTTGAATGAACCAAAATTATTTTGATATAACATTTTTTTTTATGTTTAGTTTATCTTAAATTTTCAAATTATATCTTTTTTATTATATGGTTGAGATTGATTTGCGAGAACTAATAGTTTTCCGAAAACATTATTTAAATTCAATCTTTTACCAAAAGATACTCATAATAATACAAGCATATCCTTACAATTTCTAAAAGTATGTTT